CATAAATTTAATAAACAAAATTTAAATGCATAGTTGCCATATATTTTTTAATTACTCTTCATAGATATTTTAGCACCTGAAATAAGTGGGAAATTTCTGAATCGCAATCAAAATAAATCACTACCTATTAATTTGCTTTGCCAATTTATTCCCTTAAAGAATAATCCAATATTTTATGAATGAAATAAAATAATATTGTGGTAGAAGTTCACGATCGAGCGGATCGAGGGTTGATTCATAGTGATTTGAATTTAAAATCGACTTTTCCTCAATGGGTTTTGTGAGTTGATTATTGTTTCAGAAAAAGCAATAATTTTCACACAAAAAGGGTTAACTTGAACGATTTTTTCTATTAAAGATTGATTTTTGTACTAATTCTTCTCAAATGATTTCCCAGCTCATGAATTATGGTTTCAGCCTTTACATGTAGAGCAGGATATGTTTTTTCTTAAACAGTAAACAACACGTAAACCCATTGAGGAAAAGCCGATTTTAAATTCAAATCACCAAAAATGAGATAAAATTAAAATAAAGAAATAGTAAAAAAAAAATTATTTTATTTTTAATATTAAATCAATTTTTTTGGAAGTTATAATTTTATAGGTTTAAAGGGTTCTGCTTAATTAAAACACTGATGCTTTAAATTACATGAACTGAACATTTTAGGCATTCAAACTTAATTTGCTTAGAAACATTTTGTTAAGGTGATCTTCCGCTTAAAAGGCAGACGTAGGAAATTGTTAAATAAAATATTATAACAAATAAATATTATAAATCATAGAAAAAACGTTGCAGTTAATTTTTACAACTGGATTGAGCGCGGTGATACGGAGCAAAACGGTTTTAACACTTATGCGCTTTTTTGCTGACAATCCTCTCACATAACTCAATCCATTAGCATTTATTCGATCAGATAAGCGCATAATAATTTCCATCAACTCGGAAAAAACCAGCCGAGCGTGAATAAAAAAGCAAGCGAAACCCGTTCGTCGCGTCGACGACGCACCTCGATGCAAATGTAAAATAAAAAACTTGAAAAAGTGGCGCGTGCATGCAAATTTATATAAGATATAACTGCAGTTCGGACGAAACTCGTTTTCGCGAAAAATAATTTTTTAATCAACGCACAAAAACCAAAAACTATACCAAATAAACTAGGACGGAGATAAGCGTCAGGTTTTGCTGGTTAATGCGATTTAAATGCGGCGGCGGCAGCGGCGCAGGCTGTCTTTATACATGCCAGGCTAACAAGTAGTGTAATAAAAAATAATGTTCACGGTCGCGGTGCTTTGTGTGTGTAATTACCATTTCAATAGAGCACGAGGGCGTGAATGCATGCGCGGCACCCGCTCGCGTGCTCCGGTGACGTCAGCCGGCGCAAAGGACGTGCTTGGCGGGGATGGGGGCAGCGCAGCCATGACCTCGCCGCCACCCCCGAACCGGCGGCGATTGCTCTTGGATCGGCAATCGCGGAGGCATCCTCGGAAGGAATTGATAGATCCGCGCGCACGGCACGAGCGGTGCAAACTGCGTGGCTGCGGCCGAGCGAGTCTCACAATAAGGGCGGTTCGAGCATTACTGAACCAAATTTAAGTCTTCTTTTCTTAGCCCCATCGCTTTTATTTCAGTACTGAGTATTTTTGAACCTTTGCGGGGCCAAACGGCCGCATATATGATGCAAGAAATAGTAGCGCGGGATATTAAAAGACGACGGCATGCTGAAGGTGTTGCGGCGGCCGAGGCGGTGGTGGTGTCTGCTGTGTTATGGGTTAATAATACTCGCCGCACACGCGGGTCGCCGCGCTGCTATTTCCGCCTCTTTTAGCAGGGATGATTTTGTATTTTTAAAAATCCACTCCCGCCTTTTGGCTATATTTATAATCCACGGGCCATACTACGGCTGCTTTCTTTCGTATTTCATTCACTTTCTTGTTCATTCAGACTTTTCGCCACTCTTCGCATGCACAAAAGCGTGGCCGTGCTCGAGGGATTATGATTGAACCACCCTTGCATTGTGTGCTTGTTGCGACACAAAGGCGCGAGTTCGAATCGACTACTTTGCGAAATCCTCAAAGAGCAAATCAAATTAAATTAGCATCTTACGTTTTTTTCCTCAATTTTTTTAGTAATAATGAACAAAATGAATTTTTTTCTATTGTTAAGAATTTCTTCAAAGGACTTTTGCGCAAGTTCCTACAGCGTACTTGAAGAAATTGAAATTGAATTAAAATTTTGAAATGCAAGTTTAATATTTGCTTCAAGAAATTGCCACTCGAGGAGATGATCATGAAAATGAAGAGATTGGGCTTTTCCTCATAGCGAAATTAGTTTTTATTCAAAAACAAATGGTCAGTTTCGGTCAGCGAGCAGCGCGTTTGCTCATGAAATAGGTTGGTAAATGAATTTGTTAGTTTTAGGATTAAAATTTTTATGTTAAAATGTATTTTTCTCTCTCCAATTTTGCTGATTTTTGTATTTTTCTTGCTCATGATATAGGGTCGGAAACTGGTAGAGCCATTTTTTTTTTAACAATTTTTACAACGAGGAAAAGCCCGATCTCTTCGTTTCCGAAAGTTTAATAATAATTATTAAATAAATAAAAGGAATAAAAATCATCTCCGCACTCTAATTATTTCCTTCTGCACCTAAAATCATAGTTCAACAATCAATAGAAATTTATGAAAGTTGAGCAATTTTCTTGTTTTAACTTTTATTTAAAAAAATTTAAATGCCATGTTTTATTGTACATTTTGTAATGAAACGCAATTTACGAAACACTAATTTGCAGTTTAAAATTTCAGCTTCCAACTGAAAATGTCAAGTGCCCTCGAGAACTCTTTTGTCTGCATTCCAGGACTAAAAATGCTTCAACCCTGTCTGTCTCTGTGACTCTGTTGCGACGTACAAAAATTTGCCCTCGACAACAAGCATCCGAGCGCGCACAAAGGCTCACGTTAAAAAGCAACTCGACAGTTCTATTACTTTTTTCTGTACAAAATCGCAGCAGGCAATCAATTTTGATTCACCCCGGCAGGGCAAACAGCAATTTTGTGCCGCTGAAAAAAAGGGCAGAGCAAATTGATTCAAAAGTCATTCCGTCCGAGGGTTAAAACATTCACACTGCGGGAGCGCGCAGCAGCCTTTGTTAATAAAAATTATTTTCCTGCTCGTTACAAAAAACCGGAGCAGGTGCGGCCCATAAGTATCCAAACATTTGCTTTGGTTTCGGTCCAAGCGAGTGATCTCATCCACTCTCTGCAACTCGCAGCATCCCTTGCGTGAAATTCTATACCGCGTTTTCCTTCGGCTAGATGCGTTGGCGGAGAGAACGAGATGTGAGAGGACAAAGTTTATTTCTCGTTCAATTTTAAGGTTTCTGTAGCAGTGAATAACACTTTCCGCCCTGGCAAAGGGCGAGAGTCAGGTAGGACAAATTGTAAAGAGTAAATAGAAGAAAGTTTGCGCGACAATGACGAACTGATGCTCCGCGTTTCCATGGAGATGCACAAAAAGAAACTGGAGCACAAAAGAGTTATTGATTTTTTTTTATCTCTCTGGTTGTGAATATTGTGAATGCTATGATAATTCAATCGGGAGTTTAGAAAATTAATTTCAAAGCCTAACGACCAATCAGCAATATTTTTTTCTACGTTTTTATTTGATGAGTTTGTTATATTTTTTCGCCTTGGGAGGTGAAGTTTGTATTTTATATGTGGCATCCTCTTTGATTGTATTTCTATACAAATAAAATTAATATTAAGAATTAATTAATAAACAAACAAAAATTAAGAATGTGAAAAAAATAGAAATCTTTCCGCAGCTTTAATTGTACAAATTTGTAACATAATTTTCATATAATTTAAATAATTTCTATCAAAAATTGCCGCAATATAATATTTAATTAATTAATTTTGTATTTTCTACTTTTTTAGTAGTTGCGCTTTTCAATTGTTTAAAATTTATTTTTAAACGATTCATTTAACCATAAACATTAGCCGGGGACAATTTAAAATAATCAGTGCGGACATTTTTCACTAAATTAATTGGAAGCTTTTTGCCCTCAGGAGGATTTTTTTTAACTTAAATATTACTTTTTCAATATTTAAAAATAATTGTAGCGTTAATTAATTCAAAATCCATAAAATTGTGATGATTTCCTCATAAAAATTGAAATAAATCCTTTGAAAAATCAGTTCAAGACTGCAATGTATTGAAAAAAATCATTTATCTTAAAACTCTTTGAATTTGTTGAAAAAAAAAAATTAATAACAAGAATTGTTTATCTATCCAAATTATTCCTATGTTAAAAAAAATTAACTACTTATTCTCATAAATAAACATAATATGAAATTATTTTACCTAGATTTTTATTTTTCATCGTAGCTAAATTTGCAAAAAATATATTTTCCTTTTCTTTTTTTTTAATTTTCCAAATTGCAATTTTCAAAAGTTTCCCAGACCAACGAGTTTATTTGAAATTTAATGTTTATTTTCCTTTGGCGTTTCGCAACGTCGGATCTGGCTGCGCGACGTCCCCAATATTGGGCAAGGCCGTTTTCACGAGCTCATGCACAGCTGGCCACGCGCGTTTGTGTTTGTCGGGGCGCGATCCGGAGGCTTTGAACACAAGATTTAATGCGCGACCGTGGAGGTGCGAAGGTCGAGGCAGGCACCGGCCCAAACCAAAGCAAACCCCGACAAGGTGTGTGCAAAGCATGTCCACCGGCGTGCAGGGGGTGCAATCGATATCAGCGTGACGCACACATGCAGGCGAGCTCGCCGGACGCAAGGCCACGTGAACCCGCCTAATGCCGCGGCGCGTTCGCTAACGACCAGTCCAATTTTTGTCCCGACGAAAACCCGATCTTGACGTGAAATAATTAGAATTTCCCTGTTCTCCGCTGATATCGACGAAAGAGATATGAATCCGCGCGTGCAGATCAGATTTCCGCGGGAAATTGAGTAAAAAAACAAAATGCTTCTATTTCAGAACAACTCACCTTGGTGATGTGCAGCGGGTGGTATATGTGGAGCTTCAGGTACGAGGGCTTACGCCGAACGTAAAAAGGACGGGGGTCTGCGAAAAAATAATTAAAAAAAGAATTAATTACATTCTGCTGGCGGTTTTTGGTGTCGTTTTTTTTTTTTAATAATTAATGCCTACAATGCTTAATTACATTTCGCATTTATTATGCACACACACAGGCGCTTGCACGCACCCGACATAAAATATGAAACAAGCAAACCTGAAAATTAATTATTTGTTTCACCATCAAATTTATATTTTGTTTTAATTTGATGAGTGAAAATAAGTGAAATTAAAAAATTTCTAATCTTTAAAAAAAAAATTAATTTATTTTAATTGGATGTTTAAGAAATTGTTTCTTTTAACAGATAGATTCACGTTTTGAGAGGTTCCCTGAATTACAGCACAATCTACTTACAACGTCAATAAAAGCTATTTTTGTACTTGAAAGAAGGAAAAAAGCGTATCAAGGTTGTCGACTTGCTAAAAATAAACTCATTTGGGACACTCAGGTATCTCCTTTAGATTTTTTATAAGTTACGTTTAACTTTCTCTGCTTCACGTTTTTTTTTTATGAGTAAAATCAGCAATTTACATAAAACGCGTTCTGAATGTTCCCATCATAAAATTAATTCCATCAAAATAGTAATAAAACGTCGCTTCAAATAATAGATTGAATAGATTACAGCACAGAAAATCTTCCACTCAACGGAGACGAGAAAGCCCCGTGGAGTTTATGCAACCCCCTGGTTGAAGAAGCGTCGCGGCGCAGCATCTCGCTGAAGTTTTCTTCTTCCAATGGTCTTATTGAAAAACAAGCGACAAGGGCAAAAATATTTTTCTTAAATGCAGATTCTGTCAAGCGAGACAAAACATTGTTTTTGCCAATTGTGGAGGGGGAAAACAAACTGCAGCCGCAGCATTGCTAAGTAAGAAACGCGAGAATACACGAAAGAAACGGAGTTCTATGCCGATTGTGCGCAGCCAACCTTGCAGTCGTTCCTACGACCATTGTAATTCACCAGCAGCTCGCTGTGCACAATCAGCAAATTATCTTATCTCACTTCTCGCAGCACAAACTTGAGCTTTTTATTAAATTTTGCCTCTCCATTAAGAAAACACTATAGAGAAGCATATTTAATATTATTTTCTTTTCACTTGAGTTTATTCCAAATAAAATTTACTAACAAGCGCAAAATATTTCTTTCTATAACTGTACACGAGGCATAACTCATTCAACCTCCCGGCAATGTTGTGGTCAATTGAAAATTAAAGAAAGGTAATAATGCGTTCTTCGTTGACCGCTAATATAGCAAGAAAATTCTTAGCCTGCAATATTTAACAACAAAAATTTAATGTTTCTTTTAAATTTATATTTTTTTATTATTTTAAATTCAATTTCTTATTCGTTAACTACAAGCGTCTCCTCCTGAATAAATTAAATATCCACCGGTTTTTTATTTACTTGGAAGTGGCAATTCTTAAAAAAGACCAAAACAAGCAGAAATACTGTTTACCATGACACACATTGCAAAATCAAGTGAAAAGCGTGCTTTACTTCTAAAAATACATTTGCAGTGGCTAAAAATAAGTCAAGACAGGGAATTTTTCAACGATTCACAACAAACTGGTTTTCTTCGGCGACTCGGCGAGGCCTATAAGATAATAACATTGGCGTGCAGCCTTGGTCGAAATGCAGTCAATAAAACCGCATGTCTTGAACTATCTGAAGAAGTAAAATGTAAAAAGTCACCTGACTAACCCTCACTTGCGACAAGAGCAATTTTCACGCCGTCTGCAATAGAAAGTAAAAGATCAGCCCGCATCACGAGGTATAAGTTTTTTGTTCAGCCGCGAACATGGTCCATAAAAGAACCTTGTTGCCGATTTAACTATAAGGAGAATAAAAGAACCTGTTTTTTTCTCTTCTACCTGATGCGAGAGCGAGACTGCTACCGACATAAATGCTTGCTTATCCAAATAATAGAGACGCGGCCGGTCGCTGACCTGCCTAGGACCGTCCTCAATTTTACGCTGCTCACTCTCACCCTGCAATAAATCGCCGATTTGTGACGCCATTCAGCGTTTGTTCGGGGTCACCGCACCCTCCTTTAGGAATCGCGTCCCATATAACCTCCCTTCCTGGTATACACCCCATTTAGTTTCTCGGGCGCAACAGGTTTCTCTGACAAAGGATACGGGAGAGCTTGGAAATTTTCCAAAGTCACAATTTTCTTCCTATAAGCTTGATTCGATTTAATAATTATTTGGAATTCATGGCTGTGAGTGAGAAGGAAAAAACATTAAATAAATTTATTTCGTGTGCAAAAAGGGAACCAAGCCAAACAATTATAATAATTAAACACTATTATTGTTACGAGTGTACAAATGAATAATTCAGTTTCAAATTCGCACGTGATACGACGAGCTGTTCCCCTTCAACTTTCTTTTGCACTCACGTGATGGAAGGTATCAAGGTATGCACTGCGCTTATGTACACCAGTCTACCGCAACTTGGAACCGCTAGTTTTTGGTCGAGTCAACACAGTATAATTCGATTGAAGAATTCGGCACTCTAGGAGATACAGTAAAATATTCCTAAATATTCATTTCTGAATCATTTTATGAAAAATGCTCAAAGACTTATTAACTGAAAAATTTGAACGGTATTTATGCTTAATGTACGAGAGATTCTTTTTAATATTGTAACAGACGAAATACTTATCTAACAATAATAAATCGATCGATAAAAAAACAGTTACACATTTTGCAGAATTAAAAAAAGATCAAAAAGCTTTCAGTAATTTGGGTCTGGATATTGAAACTGCCAGAGACATGCATTTTAAAATACCCATCAAGAGAGAGAATATGGTTGAAAACCGGTACGCAATTTAAGCTGGACGAATAGGGTCAAATATTTTGACACACCTATCGCATTGAAAACTCGATTTTCGTCGTGAGAGCCCTGCTTGATCAATGGTAGTCTGATAGTCTGAGAAACCTGCAAAACGTGTGGAATAAACGTAAAAAATTGTGCAAAAGGTGGCTGAGATCTTAAATCCGGTTCTTTTAAAGAAAATTCCTAACTGAAAAGGGATTAATTTAAATTGCTTGGAGAGTTTCAAATGAAGGTGTAAATTAAAATGAAGTAACATTAATTTTCTGTTTTTTTTTTCGTCACCCACGAGTACCGTCGGAGTCAATTTCCATTTGATTGAACATGCAGGCGTATATTATATTGCGTATGCATCACAGGGGATGATCTCCAGGCGAGCAAATTATAATTATTTCCTCTGCGGCCGAGAGCTCAGCCAACCAGCTCGCTTTTCGTGATTTCGACACGCGCGCTCTGTTGATCTCAGCTGCATCTCGTTAAATTACCTCCCCCGCGCAATGCCGTTCCACGCGGACGCGACCCCCAGCCACCCACTCGCGACGGAGGCACGGCACCATGTCTGAGATCTTCACCGAGAGACAAAGAGTTAATTGCGCCACGGTAGTAAATGATACCAATTGGATGCGAAACCAAAGCTGCCGAGATGCGGAAAATCGAGTTGCGATTATATTTAATTACTGATGATCACACGTGCAAATCGTCTTCCTGGCTGATTAGCAATTTTTTAGCCAACAGCGAGATTGATTTTTTTAATTTAAAATATTTGATATTTTTTATCTTAATATATTTTATTTGATTACCAAATTCTTGACAATTTGAAATTCCAAATTAATTGTACAGACTTCTATAGTTTTAATTTGTGTATTAATAATTGCTTATTGATTTATTTTAATTTTCATTTAAACCAACAACAGGCCTATCTATCCTACAAATTCATTATTAAATGACATTGATTTATAATGTGACCAGTGTGTAAGATTTATAAATCTTGGAAATATATATAATATTGTTTACAGAGATGTACAGTTTGTGAAAATCAGATCTGGTGCTTTTATAAAAACAAATAAAAATAAGAATATAATAATTATTATAATAAAAATAAAACATTCCATCTAAATCTAAAAAATTTTAAATTTTATAAGGTTGCTTTTTATACTTATTATAATTTATAATCAATAATCTACACATGTTTCATTAATTTTAATGTCAGCAATCGAAAGAATTGAATTTAAAATTTTTTGCATTACAAAAATTATCCAATTGCGTTAAATATTCCTGCGTATATCCTTAAGCAACTTGGTTTCACCAAAGCATTATTCAGGAAAAAACATCAATCGCTACTTTTAAAGTTGCTTTAAATTTTCAATGCCGCGAAAATTAATAATCGTCGCACTGGTCGCAAGAAAATCTTCAGCACTAAAACATTTTTCATGCTGGTCAATTTAAAGGGTCCAACTTTAAATGAAATTTTAAAATTTCCCATAGCAAGAATTTAATAAAATTACAATATTTTAAACGAGACTCTTAGCAAAACTCGGAGATTTCATTCCACAGGAACAGTATGGGTTCATGCCGGGTAAGAGCACAATTGATCCAATAAAACATTTTCAAACTTTAATATCCACAAATATGGGAGAGAAAAATTATAAAAAGTATGCCCTTTTTATTGATTTAAAATCAGCATTCGACCTGACTAATAGAAAATTATTTTTGCATAAATTAATTAATAAAAATATCCTTTCAAAAAATGAGCTTTTGTTGCTCTCAGAGTTTTTAGAAAAAGACTTTATTCAGCTAGACGATGGAGTTTCTTTATCGGAATTTTTTGTCCAATCAAATGGTTTTAAACAAGGAATGAATTCTAGTCCAATCTGCTTCAATATTTATATTCATGACATAATTAAAATATTCGAGGGGATTGAAGGAGTAGAATTTTTGTTCTTTGCGGATGACATGGTTTTTATAAGCGATAGCTGTAAAAAATTGGAAAAAGCTTTAGAAAATTTTTTGATTTATTGCTCTGAAAATAGTTTAAAAATAAATGTATCCAAAACAAAAGTTTTGAAATTTACAAATAAAGGAAAAGGGCCAAAAGGAAAATTAGATAATATAATGTGTGAAAGAAAAGAAATTGAATTTGTATCCAGTTTCTCAT